GGGAAGAGGGAAGGAAGCAAACATTTATGAACCACCTTCCGTGTGCCAGGCACTATGGCAGTGAGAAGTTTACAAATATCTCATTTGATCCTCACAACAACTCTGATTGATAGGTGCTATTATTATCTTCATTTTAGAGCTGAAGAACCTGAGGCTGAAAGAAATTAAATGCCTGTCCAGGGTCACACATAGCTAGTGTCTGAGGCCAGATTTAAACTCAGGTCTTCCCAACTCCAGCCCCAGGGGTTCTATCCACTGAGTCACCTAGCTGCCAAATAAGATTCTATTTTTCCAGACTAATTTCATATTTTTCCGCTCCATCTACTCTGTACTCTTAACAAAATGGACTAGTCACTATTGTCTGATCAAAGCCTGTGTTTTCCTAGCTCCCTGCCTCAGCTCATGCTGTTCACTAAGCCTATGATGTCAAGCCTTTAAAGTCTAACACAAACTCCATCTCTTTCAGGAATCACATTTAATGAACTTTTCATGTCAAAATGTGTATTTTAACTATTTATGCTTTTATCATTACCTACAGACTCTAAGTTTTATGAGGCCTAAACACTGGACACAGTAGACACTTAAGTGTTTGTTGAAATAATGTTCATTTCAGATATTGTAATACATGATAAAAGAAACTGAGATGTCATGGGGCATGTGAGTCTCAAATCACACTGGAAGTGATGTCCTACTGTCATTATGCCAGGCTTCCCTGGACTTGGGCTATTACTTTTCTGGAAATAAGTTCCTTCATCTGTAAAACAAATGGGTTTGACTAGATGACCTGAAATCTGTTTTTTTACTGCTTAGAAGAGAAAAAGGCAGCAAGGAGACAAATTGAAAAGCTACTGCAAAATGACTACATGATGGCAAATAACCAAATGAAAAATCCAGCCAATTATTTGGATCTTTCCAGCTGTCTGAGTGTTTGGCACTGTGTACAGAAAGAACCTGAGCTAGATCTACAAACATTTTGTCATAAAAAGCCCTGATACTTTAAAAAACCTTGTAGGCAATCTGGGTAGACTTTTGAGGTAGGAAGTATTTGTAATTTAATAAGCTTCTGCATCTTAGCAATGGACTTGATTCAAACCGCATACTTTTTTGGGAAGTGTAAAGTCTGTAGGGGTGTAGGTGCAGAGATTGGCATTTTAAAAATAAATTAAAAATAGGTTTTTAAGAAACAAATCTGTGGGAGTTTTTGTTGCTGCTGGATTCCAGCGGTGAGGACAGAACACATAGCTCCGGTGTTTGGCAATAGCAACCAGACTGAAAGCTATAGCACCTAGATCCAAGCTGGATTTAGTTTCCCTGAAGATTACCTAATATTTGTGTTAAAGGTTTTGTTAACCCAAATATTAGGTATCATAAACAAAGTATGGAGAAACTTTTAACTCTCCTTATCCTATAGACATCTATTATATGTTTATATACATATATGTATATATCACACTGCATGTACATGTATAATACTTAGATTATATATGTATATGTGTATACATACATGCATATTTTTTTCAATTGTTTTTCAGTCATATATGATTCTTACTGACCCCATCTGAGGTTTTCTTAGCAAAGACAATGGAGTGATTTGCCATTCCCTTCTCCAGCTCATTTTAAAGATGAGGAAACTGAGGCCAATAGGGTTAAGTTATTTACCCAGGATCATACAACTAGTCAGTGTCCGAGGTTAGATTTTAACTCAGGAAGATGAGTCTTCCTTACTCCAGGCACTCTATACACTATACACTATACACTATGGCCCACTGCACCATCTAGCTCTTCCCTTTTCCTTCCCCTATTGTATAAATGAGCAGCTATAACATAAAAACCAACAAAAAGGATAATTCCAATATTCCCCACAAACTTGATAATTGGTGAGAAAAAGACAATCTCATTCTTTCTACTTCTCTACCTTATTTAAAGTAGGTAGCATTCCTATCCCAGAAAGATAGAATACAGAAGAGTGCAAAGTACAGAATAAAGGGGGAAAGGAAAAGGTAAATGGTTACCAGAAATTTGGTTTGGGATGCAAAAGTACTCTGATCCAAAATTTGGAAAGACACTGCACTGGACAGTATGTTATGATAAAGGAGATTCACTTTTGTACCAGTAAGTAAATCTTACATTCCACCTTTTACCTAATAGGATATGAGATTTTTGAGTGCCATAGTGGTTTCACTCTTGCCTTTGAAACTCTAGTGACTGGCACATAGTAGGTTCTTTATAAATGCTTATTGACTGATTGACTAAAAAACCCATGTTCTATAGTTATTTCACTAAGGTAGGCTTTAGACAATATTGTAATACAAGAACAGTGTGTATTCAATTGCCTCCCTCCCCTCCCCCAACCCCGCTCTCCACACACTGGTCTTTCCCATTTCCTTTCCCACTAATCAATTTACTTGTGATACTCTGTAATCAATCAACCAAAAAGAATTTATCAAGAACCCCCTATGTACCAAGCATTGTGTTAGGTGTTGCTATGATTAACTATTTCAATTGACTAATTTGAGGGAAGGTGTTAATGATTTGTTAGGGGGTATTCTTTCATGATAATTGTGATTATTTAAAGGGAGCAAATGAAAAAATAAACATGAGATTTATGCTGAGAAAGCAACAGTTATAGAAGTAATTATTTACTCAAGGCAAAGGTTTGCCTCAGTGTTCTATTTCAGTTTTTCATTTGCATGTGACAGGCTGGAGAACTTTGGCGTCAATGTGAAGTCTGATTCAGTGAAAGTCTGATTCAGTCTTCTGTGTTTCAGCTTTTTATTAGTATATGAAAATCTGGGGAACTTTGACAATAACAATCAGGGAACTCTGAATCTCTGAACTGTTTTAAGATCATTGGATGAATGTACTTTGCCTGATTATAGTTCAGCTGGTGGAGATCAGATTTTGGTTACTCATACTGAGTTGCAGTGTTGTTTCCTAAGGTGAGGATCGATTTCTGAACCAGGCAGAATAAGAAGTGAAAGGGTCAGAGAAGAGACCTCAAAGATGTTGTGAAATCAAAGTTACAGCTCTTTGCCCTATCACTTTTTGCTAGGAAGAATTAGATGGTAAAAGAAAGGATATCTATCTTTATCTTCTTTGCCACCTATTTTTGAGACAGTGGAGAAGAGGAAGAGGAAAGAAGGTACTTTTATCTACTGCTAGGAGGATAGAGAAGAAGAGGAAAGAAAATATTTCTCTGAGTTGCCAAGGAGGAAGAGGGGAACCTTAGAGTCACCAGAGGGAGCAGGACTGGAAAAGTTTTCTGCCAATCCTAAACTGAGTCTCTGACTTTCAGAAACAGTATAGTACCACCTCTGCTGAAAGCATCAGCTGAGTCTCAAATTAGAATTGTAGAATTGTATGAGTAGGAGTAAACCCATTTCAGCAGAGAAAAAGCCCAGCATAAAAGAGGAGTAACAATGGAGCTGTCTAGTTATTGACCCATGCCTTTGAGATAACATGCCCTATGATATTCACGCCCCACCTAACAACTGAATCATTAGTCCAACATAATTACAACACCCATTGGTGAAATTTGAAAGAACAGTTTCTGGGAAAGAAAAAGGGGATCAATGCTCAAAGTTTCTGAGCTGTGAGTCACTGTGACTACCTGTGTTCTTTACACGTATACCACATTAACCTCAGTGATGTAAGTTTGTACCCACTCTACCTTATGGTCTTTGTGCATTTCTGTGCGAGTGCAACCCAGATTTATAAGTGGAATATTATATAATTTTAGTCTTTGCTTTGCCTTCTGTTTAGTTTTTTTAAAATTTATTAAGAAGTAATGGAGGTATCTTGCCTGGTTTGCAAATAGGAAAAACATGATTAGGGACTCATGAATTTAAAGTATAGTAGGAATAGTTACCCATCATGATTGTCCCTAGAAAAGTGGAATACTAATACACTGTTGGTGGAACTGTGAAATGATCCAACCATTTTGGAAAGCAATCTGGAATTATGCCCAAAGAGTTATAAAACTGTATACCATTTGACCCAGCAATACCACTATTAGGTCTTTTTCCCAAAGTGAGCAGGGAATAAGGAAAAGAATCTATATGTTCTAAAATATTTATAGCAGCTCTCTTTGCAGTGGCAAAGAACTAGAAATTGAAGGGATGCCTATCCATTGGGGAATGGCTAAACAAGTTGTTGTATATGATTGTGATGGAATACTGCTGTGCTGTAAGAAATGATGAGCTGGTTGATTTTAGAAGAAAAAAAAACAAAGACTTGCATGAAATAATGAAGAGTGAAATGAGCAGGACCAAGAGAATGTTGTATACAGTAACAGTAATATTGTTCAAAGATTCTGAGTATTATTAATGCTCAGATCAACTACAAAGGATCTATGAGGGAAGATGCTATCTACCTCTAGAGAAAGAACTAATACATAACTGTGCCAAATGGTGGCCTTCTCTAGTGTGGGGTGGTGAAGGAGACAGTTCAGAACTTTAAATGTAACAAAAAAATTAGCTTACTTTAAAAAGAAAAGTGATCTGTAGAAGCCACTCTACCTTTTTAGAAATCTTAACCTACTAGAATAATTATAGGTTGAGGGAAAATGAGTTGAGAGAGAAAAATGAAGGGAGTGATCTATGACCATCAGAACTATGAATGTGTTAAATGACTAGCTAATTCAATCAACTAATTTAAGCTTAGATGTTAATGCTTAATAGTGATTTTTTTACATTTAAATATATTTGCAACAGGCATTTTCATATTATCTTCTCAATTCATCACCTATTCAAGAAAATATTTACATTTTTAAAGTAGCCTTCAATCTCTTAACATAAGTAAATAATAAGGAAATTTTAGATGTTGTGACATGGATGGTGGGGTAGACATTGGGTGGAAGGGGTGGGGAAATTTCAGTCTCCTTAAATAATAGCACTTAAGCAAGCCCCAATCTACCTGCTTGTAAGGCTAGCCTACACACTAATACAAGTGGCATCTTAGAAAAAGGGAGGTATTAGACCACACTTCTAAACGATTCTTACCTTTCTGTGATTGTTTCTCTGAGACCACTGGCTACCCCCTTGACCACAGTACTAGCTTTAGGGGTCAGCACCACCTGAGATATAAAAAAAGAACCCTTCTTCCTTCTCTCAGTAATGGACGCCTGGAGAAACTGGATCAGTTTTTCAGGATCTGTTGTGTTGGCCCAGGGAGCTGGCATCATCTGCCCAGGCCAGAGAAAGGGCACCTCCAGAGCTACTGGGCTGTGATAAAAGACCAAGACTTGGTAATCTTTCTCCCACAGGTACTTCAGACTCACTTCATGGGCAAAAATTGCTGGGCACATTTTATTCCCAAAGATGTCTTTCAGCATTTGGACGAGTTTTTCGTGATGGTATTTCTGCATTCCGTAGAAGTGGTTGAAGTCCAAGAAGACCACCTCCCTGTGGTGATCTGTGAGGAAGGCATTAATCTCTTCCAGACCTTCATTCACTTTGGCACTGAACAGACCATGAGCAAAGTAAAGCTCATTGTCAGGGTCCCTGGGCTTGGTGGAAATTCGGAGGTCAAAGTACCGGATCCCGGCCCCCAGCTGACCAGTAAAATTCATCGTCTGAGTTGCTAACCATTTCCTCATGAGCTTTTTGGCCACAGTTCCAAACACAGAGACAAAATTCTGGACAGTTTCTGGTTGCTCGGGTCCTACTGGAGAAGCTTCATCAATGTAGAAACTGAAGGAATCATGAGATCCTAAAAAGATGACAAAGCACAGTGCAGTTAGATGCCAGCATTTAAAATCAGGGTATTACTTATCTTTCCCTTCCAAGGGTATTCCATATATTCATTTTCAACATGAGACAGGGAAAAAAAACCCAACAACTCACTAATGCTTATCCTTATTGATTCCCACTTAAACAAGATTGCTTTTTAAAAATTTCTTCCTGATGTGTTATGCAGAGATCAATTTCACATCAAGAAGGAGCTTAAAATTATGGGGAAATTTCTTCTGAGTGAAGTTTAAAAGATTGGCACACCACAGTCATACTACTGACCTCAGTTTGAATTCTGCCTCAGAAACTTAGTAGCTGTGTGACTCTGAATGAGTCATTTAGCCTGTATCATCCTCAGTTTCTTAATCTATAAAATGGGGATAATAATAACACCTACCTCATAGTGTTTTTGTGAGGTTCAAATGAAATAACATGAGTGAAGTACTTTGGAAACCTACATAAATGCTAGCTATCATTACTATCATCATTATTATACATACGTGATCCAAATTTTCATGTACATGGTACAAGCAGCCACCTACACAGTATCATTTGAGTTTTCAGAGCCATTATGAATCCCCACATGTCGTTCTCATTCTCCTGTCCCCTCCATTTTGATTTGAAATTCCCTATTTTTAAAATTTCTACCTCCTTTGTCATAGAAACAGATGACAAGTGCTAGTTATAACTTAACATTATTCTCTCCCCAGAATTCCCCCTTCCACTTTGGAAATCAATAAGATCTGAAAACTTGAAGGTAGAATGTCCTCCTAGGAGAATGAAATCCGTTGACTTTTTTTTTTAAAGCATCTGATAATATCTATACTTTTGAAACTATGTGCAGGGTGACCCTCAAGGGACAGATTACTATTTTGAAATAATCAGACTCAATATCAGAAATGTACTCAAAATTCAATTTTAATGTTAAAAAATAGTTCTTTGATTCTTGGGCAAGATGTGTTGAAGAGTTAAAAGTCAAGCTCATGCATATTGGTGCCTCCTACCAGAGAGGAAAAAAAGTATGTGCTTAGACTGCAAAGAATCACTAATTCATAGAATCTGAGAGTTGAAAAAGGACCTTGGTAGCTACTGAGACAAAAAGAACCCCCTCTCAAACATCCTTACAAATGGTTCTCCAGCTTCTGCTTGAAAATCTCCAAAGAAGGGAAACCCACTATATCTTAAGGTAGTCATTCTTCTTTTGGATGTATCCATTCATTAAAATTTATATTTCCCTTGAAACTAAATTAAATTAGTCTCTTTTCAACTTCCATCCATTGCTCCTGGTTTTGCCCTCTGGGCTAAACAGAACTAATCTAGTCCTTTCTCCACATGACAATCCTTCAAATAATTGAAGGCAGCTAGCATGTTCCCCTCTGAGTCTTCTTCCAACCTAAATATTCCCAGTTCCTTCAACTGAACCTCATATGACGTAGAGTCAACACTCTCCAGCATCCTGGTTGCCCTCTAACTTATCGACGTACTTCTTAAGCAACAACACCCAGAACTGAACATAATACTCCAGGTGAAGTCTGACAAGAGCAGAGAACAGTAGTACTAATGCTTTCCAATTTTTGGAAGCCGAGTGCCTCTTTTGCAGTCCAAGACCACATTAGTGATATGCTATCTATCCTTTTATCCAAGTTATTAATAAAACTGTTAAATATAACTTCTTATTTTCAACATCCACAGCTTTCAATGCACGAGCAAGGAGAACTGGTTAAGACAGAGTGCTCCATGGACCACTGCAGACCCCCGAGACTCTGGCATGGGGTTCAAGAGGTCAAAACTATTTTCACAAAAATATTAAGATATCAATTATGTATTAAAATAGCCTTTATTTTTCCAACTATACATGTGTGTGATGCTGAATTTTCTTCATATACTTTAACCAAAGCAACAGATGGAATGAAGAAGATATGAGAATCCCACTGTCTTATATTAAGCCAGACAGCTAAGAGATTTGCAAAAATATGTAAAGTAGTGCCACTCTTCTCATTGACTTTTCGTTTTTGAAAATATAGTTTTTTTAAATTAAAAATACTTTATATTACCATGCAATTGGCTTATTGTCATTTAAATGAACTAATAATATGTTAATAGTTTTAATTTTGAATATAATAGATAGTGATAGATATAATCCACATAAACAAAGCTCTTTGGGGTCCTCAATAATTTTTAAGAGTCTAACGAGGTCATGAGAACTGATGGGCTAAGGTAAAATTGGGACACAGAAAAAGTTTGCTTGAGGATCTCCACAACTCACTGTACTGCTTTCCTCTCTACCATTACCAGGGTCTCCCTATATTCTCTTTGGGTTTTCCCATTCTGATCCTCTCTGGTCATGGTCTTTGCACTGGTCCCTTTATTGGAAAAAAAAATAACTGGTCATCACCCTCTTTCCTCCCAGTCCTATTCTCTGATAACTTAACTCATCGGGGCTAAAGTGATTCAACTACATTGATATACTATCATCAACACTGATAAAAATTCTAAGTTGACAATGCTTTGGCTCTTGCAGGCTTGTCCATAAAAGGAAGAGGAGGGTAAGGAGAAAAGTTGACTTATACAAAGTAAACCAAGATTCATAAAAGGTCAACAACTATCAAACTTATGATTAACTTTTCTAGGGAAATATTTTTGGCTTTACTAAAATTTGTTTTCAAGCTAAAATCATATGTCAGGGGACCAATGAAAAAGAATGCTATCCATATCCTACCAGAGAAGTGTTGAACTAAATATGAAGAATGAGACACACATATTTAGACATGGCCAATATGGGAATTTGTTTTACATGATTGTACACATTTGTTACAAGGGTTAGGTTTTCCTTCCCCACACGCATTGGAAGGAACAAAAATAAATGCTTGTCAATTGAAAAAAAAATTTTAAAAAGCTTTCTACCTCTCTGAAAGGGAAGGTGGAATGTCTTGGAAAATAATGGGAGATAGTGTTTTAAGGAAAATAAGAAAGAAATGGAATTGGATCAAAATTTATCAAAGCATGAATGAATTACTGCTTTGGCTTTACCACAGGCATGTCCCTTTATAACACTGCAACTTTGCAAACAGAGACAAATCATGGAAACTCACTGATTTTGAACAGAACCAGCAAAAAGTTAACACACCATTATTTGGAGTCCCCATGACAAATCAGCTAGTATTCAAGGCAAGTCATCTCAGTGTTCCAAGTAAAGTAAAACTAAAAACAGGAAAGATGGATGAGCATCCTTAAGAAGCAAATGATCTTTTCCAGAAGAGTCCCTTTTTCCTGACTTCCTATGGATCAGAACCCATGTCTATTTGAATTGCTTTGTGTACAGGGTTGAGTACAGGGTGAGGAACAAATTAATATTTACAACAGTAGATATGACTTAAACTCACAGAATATCAGAGCTTAAAGAAACTTTGGCATTCATCAATGCCTCGCCTGGACTTTTTTTTTTACAGATAGAGAAACTAAGGCCCAGAAAGATGAAATAATCTTGGTCACGAGTAAGGCATAACTGGGCCAATCACCCAGGAAATTTTACTGCTGCTGTGGTTCATTTTCCACCACAACACTGACTAATGATAATAAGAACAACTAGATGAAAAATGTCACTATTTGTGCCAGGGCTTGGGTTTATTTCTCCTACCCACCCCACACACACAGTGGAGAAAAATGATCATGTTATTAGGGCAAAAAAAAAAGGATTCATTTTTATGATTTGATTTTGGTCTGGAAATTTACACAGCAAAATCGAGCATTTTCATTACAATATTGTGTTTTCTGCCTGTTGGGGGAAAAAAAAAACACAGGCTTTTATGACTAGAGGGGAAATGTGAAAAAAGAAAAGATTTTCCCTATCAATTTCTTTAAAAGTCTTTTAAAATTAATTTCTTCTAAGCCTAATAAATCAATCTTGTTTTGCTAAGGAGATCCCTTTGGGGTCAGACCAAGAAAAGGTTTTGTTGCAAAGGCCCAAAAGTCTAATCTGGAAACCTGGAGTTATAATAAAAAGAAGTCAGACTTATTTATATGAATGTTTTTGTGTGTCTTTCAATATTCAAATGTAGACACACAACACACACACATACATACACACACACACACACATACACACATATATGGAATAGGTGGTGCAGTGGATAGAGTATTAGGCCTGCAGTCAGAAAGGTTCCTCTTCCTGAGTTCAAATCTGGCCTCAGATACTTATTAGCTGTACAATCTTGGGCAAGTCACTTAACCCTGTTTGCCTCAATTTCCTCAACTTTAAAATGAGTTGGAGAAGGAAATGGCAAACCACTCCATCATATTTGCCAAGAAAACCCCAAAAAGGGGTCACAAAGAATCAGACAGGACTGAAAAATGACTAAAAAACAACATACATATACATGTATATATGTGTGTATATATATATGTATATGTGTGTGTAATATATATGTATACACACATACATATGTGTATATGTGTGTGTATATATATATACAGAGAGAGAGAGAGAGAGAGAGAGAGAGGAGAGAGAGAGAGAGAGAGAGAGAGAGAGAGAGAGAGGAATATAATGTGTTTTTCACAGATGGCTGGTGAGATAAATGATACCATGGACCCAGTGAAGTGCTGAAATATAAAGAGATAGAAGTTGGGCAGAGGAAGACATTCTGGCCCGGATTTTTCAGACAATACTATCAATTTCTCAATTCTTTTCTGGACATATAAAAGCAGAAACTCAGAAACTAAAATTTATAAAAATATGATGATACATACATATGTGTATATATGTGTATATATACATATATATGAAAATGTTTTAATATAAGTGAAATTACATTAATTTGTACAATATAGAAATAATTTTAGAGAGTTTCTTAGCATGTTATTTGGCATTTCATTTTGTGATAGAGGATTAATTAATTCATAAAAATTTTCGAGCACCTATTGTTCACAAAACATTGTAGTAAAGCAGACCTGCCCAACTTGGCAGTAAATAGGGGCCAAAAT